TTAATTGTTCCCCAACAGTGTCGGCGATCGATCGGCCGGTTAAATGTCAATAATAATATTTTTTATCGTTCCTCGCGTACCTACAACGGTTGTCGTCCCATAGGACGTGCCGGTTTGATGCAATAATAATAATAATAATAATAATAGTAATTGTTGTGTACGATAACGTAGGTACACAATTCTGTGTGGTTTCCACAACAAGTTTTATGTAATCGTCGAGCGTTATGTTATACCGCACGTAGGGACGTACCATATGTACCGGAGGCGACTTGTGTTCACATAACGACCGAAAAACGGTTGGTAGATTGATAGGGGAACGTTAGGTGCGTTTCGATCAGGCAGATGGCGTTAGCATACCGAGCAAGAAACATTACGAAACCATTGATACTACTTACCACCGAAACGTTGGCGTCGACTAATGGGGACGCCGCTACACACCATAAGCAAATAATACGAACCATTTCCGTGGGTTTAACAGTTTTTAAATTCTTGTACACAAATCGTGTGTTTATATAATATTCTTCTCTCTCGTTTTCATCGACGACTGTAATTTTTCAAAGTTCTAACTCGTTTCGGTAAAATTCGGTAGGTACGTAATGGTAATAATATTTTGATACAAATATATACCATAATATATCTATATATATTACATTTTAATAACACCGTCTCATAAGTGGTTATCGGAATATTGCTGTCCAAGAAACAATATTATTGCCGTTTACGAACGTGTATTACAATTTGTTTGTCGTCCGAAATATTTTAGTTTATAATTTTTTTTCGATTCCCGGAAGAAGACAAATTTGTAAGTATATATTTCACCATTGCGTTACAAACATATTTTATTAGGTATATATTATTATTATTTAATTCGCAGCTTAGATTATCACGAATTTAATTTCTTATATAATTTGTTTATTCGTGTTGATGATGGTTTTGTGTATGGACCGCTGCGGTATACCGAGAGGAATTAAAATAGAATTTCAATTTATAAAATAACTATTTTAGGGTAGTTCGGTGTCAAAGGAATTACTTGATATCGTATAAACATATAACATATTGTGTCGGTTTTAGAACAATTTAGTATCTATTTTAGATAGCTTGTGTTTTCCTTTTAATTGCCGTTGGTCGACTTGTCTTGTTACATTTTAATTAAGAAAATATTAATATTAGTTGTTGGAAACTGTATATGTTGTATTTGACATAAATTATTTTAAATTTATTAAACAAATTTTTGATTCCTCCAATTTTAACCGATTGTACATAATATTATTGTAACATTATATTTTGGAATCTATAATTTAGGTGAATATTTATGCGTAACTGATTTGTACTGTTGTTCAAATAGACAATATTTATATAATTGTAAACTTAATGTCGATATATATCAAAATGGTGTTTTCAGTTGATAATAATCAAATAGTACTAATTATTACTAGTGACTACAACTGATCAAGTAACTATGTATCTATAGTAAGACTAACGTTATTTACTACCAGTATTTTATTAATAGTTTTAAGTTGTAAATAATAAGCTTAGGGTGTGTTAATTGTACAGTGTTATTATATGGTTTTGTCATGATTTGACTCGTTATTTGGAATACATAACTAATATTGAAATGCTATTAGCGTATCCATTAAGTGAAATATCACATTTTTAATTTTTAAAACAACCAAACCAAGTATTTTTTAAATTAAAATTATGACTGATACTATAGGTACTTAATAACTTATTATTAAATAACAAGTTATCAAAATAATTAAATAAATATTTTTTGGCATCAATGAATTTTGTCAAGATGTCATTACAACTACCTAGTAATACCTATTTCGAAAAACTAATTTTTCTAGGTATTTCATTTGAACACCAATTTATCTTACATAAATAGACTTTGGTTTATCATAATAATTTTAATACCTGTTATGTCTTACTGTATAGATATGAATGATTGATTAATAAATAATAAGTAGGTAACTGATTATAATTTCTGCTAGGTATATTATTTTTATTATTACGCATTACTTCCATAAGTATTTTCATACATATACATTTTGAAGAAAAAAACCACAATTGTACTTGTTTCCTTGATATATATATATATACATGTAGATCTAACTATATAGTTAACATTATCTTTGAATATCGATCTCTTTTTACAAAAAAATTAGAAAATTAATTTTAATTTCTATATATTATTATCTTATAAATATATATTTTTATACATTAAAATTCAATCATCTACTTGCTATAATTTTTTAAATGTATGTAATTTTACTTCAATGACATAATTATTTATTACCCATCTATTCGATAACCTTATTAGTTATTATAGTATTTATAGAACTAATGGAATTATTATATTTGAAATAATATTAACACATTTTATTATTATGTGATGCGCCTACTGATTTTATATATTTAATCAATTTTTTTCATTACCTTCTATTTGTACGATTTTTCTTAAGTATTAAAAGTTCAAAAACAACTATATATCATTATTAAGATTTAAAATAAATATAATATTTCAGCTGTAGGCAGGTGTATATAGGATGGAAATGAAAATATTATTGATCATATTATTATTATAATTATGTAATCATTATTAATTTTTAACAATTATCTCGTCGATTAAAAAGCATATCGCAATGTCAATAATTCGTTTCGGATGGTGAGGAGGACGACAAATTATCCAGGATTTCGTGCAGCCGCGTGCACGAAATCATTGATTTAAATGGCTTTGTGTATTTATAATCAATGATAAAAGGGCGCGCACAGCCCAGGCAGTAATAAAACTCTTTGCATCCCCGGTGGCAGCACATGCTGTGCTCGTCCGGGCTGTGCTGTGCTCCTCTTTACGCCGTTTTACACCGCAGGGCGGCCAAAATCGCAGATTCTGTCAAACATTCGTTTGTCAGGGCCGACGGTGATCTAAAATTGTGTCTTCGTCGTCGGAATTTGTTCTTTGTCCAAAGTATGATTTTCATTGTCGTCTGTTGATAACAAACGAGCTTGTGTATGGATTTGAACGGACGGCCACAACCCTCCTTGTAATAATATTATAATATAGGTACGCGCACATGTTATGTCACGCACAATAATATTTTATCAGCGTGTAGCACGATTTGTTGTGTACTGTGGCGACGACGTATCGTTGCTCGGGATCGGATAACGGTTTATTATTATTATTATTTTTTAATCTCTATTTGGAATTATGTACATTTTGGTTTAAACGCCGACGGTGGAAAACGTTTTTAAAGGTCTTAATATTAAGGTTGGCGGCGTTGTTTGTGTGGAGGTCTTATTTTCTGCGAACACCGGGTTATGATATTAAATTATTTTGTTCTAAGGGGATTACCCCCTTTCGGATTATCACCACTGTTCAAGTTCTGAAAAATCCGTGTTTTCGTCGAGTAAATGGCAGCGGTAACAGGGGCGCGCGCGCATATTCGCCAACAACATACACCACATTATGTCCCTATGCGTTATAATACGATATTATTATTATTATTATTGACCGAAAGGACGCCGTCGCGTAGCCATTGCCGTTTTAAACGCGTGCTCTCCGCTGGCGGGCGTCCGCGACAGTCGTCAATTCGACGCCGAACCGCGTGTTTCCCAGTTGGCATGCCGAGCATCGTACGGCACAAAATATCCAAAGAGCATAACCACTAACCACAATGCCGGGCGGCCGCGGTTCCGTAACCATGTATCGATTGTTGGATTCGAAAACGATTAATCGGCGGGACAGGACGGTACGGGAAGAATAAAAAAATAATTTCCTAACCAAAAATCCCGCCATTTTCAACCGTCGTGTACGTACGTTTTGTAACAAAACAACAATATCACGGTTGCACGTATTTTCGTATATAATATATTATTATTATTAATCCAAAGTAATTTCATCAGTCCGTGCAAGTGGTGGCGGCAGTGTGTACGGTAATGTTGGTGGTGGTGTTTTTTCGTTACTCGGCGATACGATAATTTTTCGTTTATAACGTCTTTTATTGAGAAAACCGTGCCCCTCGCCACTATCAACTACGACCGCGTTTCCTCCGAGAGAATATTTCGTGCGAGTGCGTGTGCCGCTGGAGGGAAAAAAAGGGAAAGGACGCCGCCACCACCGCCGTGCGTCGTTGGCGTGTATGCCGCTGTCCGCGCGCGCCTTACGTCGGCGGTGGTGAACTGCGGAAACCTTGAACGACCGGTGGCCTTGGCGCGCGCGAGCGCGGTTTTTATTTCGTTTCTCTTGCCGCGTCCCTCTCTTCTTGCCCGCTCACTCGCTCGCGCGCGCGCGCCCGTCCGTTTGCCTGCCAACCAGCCAGCCCGGTCGCCTGCCCGCCCGCCCTCTGTATGCGCGCATATAAATGTTCTTTGTTCGGCCGTTCACGATTTCTAGAGATGAGGTTGGCAATGCCGGTTACCGGTAGCTACATCACGGTCGGAGGGGCCGGCCGCGCCATTGGGTTTTTACGAAACGGGCGGTGGGGGTAACATCCGTTGTCGCCGTCGTCGTCGTCGTTCGGCTAGTGGCGGGCAACACGCAGGTCTGCCTCGTTATTTTTCTCCTTCTCTCCGCCTTTTCCACCGCAGTTTTAACCGTCGGCCGCGCGTTTACAGTGAGATATTATATACTACACACACGCGTCCGTCGTTCCCTTTGTTTTTTTTTTCCGCACATACTCGCGTGGTGCACACACATATATACATTCGATTTCGCCCCGCTACGCACTCGGCGGCACACCACATACGTACGTACGCGAACCGACCGAGTATATACATACATACACACGCACACGCCGACCACGTAACGTGTGCGCCGCGTTCGTATAATATAATATTTTAATATATACACATAATTTGACTACCGACACCCGCCGCGTATCAAACACACCTCGACCAACAGTGCCCAGTGTACGCGCGTGTGTGCGTCACGTCTGGTGTCCGATCGTGTGCCGTGTGTATTATCCGTGTGAAAAATCCCGCACCATTCGCAGTCCGGCGGCATGTCCGAGAACCGCGCGGGCAACAATGTCGGCTGGGGCAACCGGGACGACCATGCGGCCGCCGCTGCCAACCTGTGGTGGGGCAACAGCCAGGAACAGCAGCAGCAGCAACAACAGCACATGCAGCAGCAGCAGCAGCAACAGCAACAACAGCAGCAGCAGCACTTGCTGAACCAGCATCACCAGCAGCAACTGGCCGCCGTGGCAGCGGCCGCGCAACAGCAACAGCAGCAGGCGGCCGCCGCGGTGTCCGCTGCTCAGCAGTTCTATAAGATGGCGTCGTCGTTCAGCCACCAGCAGCACCAGCAGCTGCAGCAGCAGCAACAGCAACAGCAGCTGAACAACACCGGCGGCGTGTCGACTAGCAACAGCAACAGCAACGTGTCGACGACGGTCACGAGCAGCTCCAGGAACCCGATGGCCAACTACGCGGACAGCTACGGTATTGCCGCCGCCGCCGCGGCTCAATGGTGGTCGTACCCGGGAGCCATGGACAACAACATTCAAAACGTTCACAACGTTCCGTCGCCTAACTCGATCATGGTAATTGGTGGTGTTGTTGTTGGGTCGTGGGTTAGCATTTGCGTATGCGTTTATCCACATGCACGTACTTACGTGGGTACGTACGCCGTATGCGTGTGTCTGATAACGCGACGACGCGCGCGCGCGCGCTACACGATTATTTATCATTATTTTGTGTACACAATAAAATGTATTCATCGTGCTGTACGATGTATGTTATGCGCGTTTATCTGTAGAGAGCTGATAAATAGAAATATTATTTGCGCGTGAATAAGTATTTTCGCGTGCGGCCGCGCTTCCGGTCAGGTTTTACGTTTTGCCGGTTAGTTTGTAGAAGTCGATAATCTCGGCAGCAGCACCGTCGTTGTTGTTGACGATCATGGCTTTTTGTTTTCGGTCAGACCCCGATGCAGTCTTCACGTTTCTCGTTAGTCAATCTCGGCCCGTTGGAATTTTATTCAAATGTCAACAACAACAATTGTTGTGTGTACATCCCGCTAATTATCACTGACCGCGTGACGCTGACTCGTGAGAGCTAGCGCTTAACCTTATCTCTCGCATGTTGTACGTTGTTGTGTATTTTTGTGATTTCATTCACAATATTATGTTCGTCAGTCGTCCACGCGTTGTTTTTCTGCCACCTAGCCGATAGGACGACGACGAGCATGTTCGTGGACTGCGATTTCAGAATTCGGTTTTTTGATCGTCGATCTCCACTATTTCTCCGAATGTGTGTCCACCCGTCCAAAAATGCGTCAGCAACGATGTATTTTTGCGCCCATCGTCCCAAGTCCCGAGATTTACCTAAATCCGATCGGGTCAGTATTTTATACTGCCTACGGTTTTTTTTCTCGTTCCACACAATCTATCGCGAAAACGCTGTACGCATTTTTCGTTGCAATTCCAACTGATAAATTTGTCATTGAGTAGATAAATAGAAAGTTATGTGGCCTTAGAACAACGCGCGAGTTACCCACATTATATTATTATTATTATTATTATTATTATTATGTTATAACATTGTTCTTGTAAAACTGTGATAGTGGTCAACGTGTGTTCGGATTATAATTTTCCACTATTGCCCGCTGATTAAAAATTGTAATCGTAATATTGTATAGTAGGTACAGGTTTTCAGCCAGCAATCCAACAACCTAATTCCAGGGATTTACCTCGAGGAAAATAACAAATTCCTATTCCATCCAAGTGGTGTTAATCTCCTCGAGCTGTCCTATATTCTTCTTGTTGTGGTAGTTTTGTTCTCAAAAGTAGACAATTTTTATAAATAGTGGACAATAATATTATGAAATTTTAGGCGCTGTTTTGATGCACAGTAATTAAGAAATAAATATACGATTCGGTTCCTATGCCTGTGTGTTCGGTGTATTCCAGGACGTCGTACAGTGTGTTTCAGATAATTTATTAAATCAACTAATCGAAATCATTTATTTCAGTTAATATTTGAATACATTATTGTTATTATATATTTTGAGTACCAATGATATAGAAACACATGTTAATTGTTCACAAAGACAGACCAATGCCAAGGTTTTTTAGGGTTCTATAGCCTTCATGGATTATTATTTCTGGTCCAGCAGTTCCAAGAAAATAATTTATTATTCACTACTAGTCGTTTGCTTTCGCGTTGTAAATTGTAAATATTATTCGGTATATCTAAATTATTTGTTGTATTTTTTCGTCCAAAATAGAATTTCATTATTAAATAATGGGTAACAATAATTAATAGGACAAATCTATTTTTGCTAAAACTTTTGTAAATAGGCGCAATCGATTGTATATGTTTTTAAAATATGTATATTATTACTTTCCGCTCGTAATTTTGGCATCTTACAATAATTAGTAAAAATAGTTTAAGATCTTCAAAATAATTTACTGCCAGGGAAAGGATTAAACAAGAACCTGTTTCTTTTGTTAAAGTAGTTACAGGTTTTACTGTTATTTTTTTATTTTAATAATTGTTATTTTACTGCCAGTAAAACCAGTTTTTTTTAGTTTAATCGAATTTGGTTTAAAAGTTGATGCTTTTTATGTCTTAACTAATTAATTGATTGTGTCAAAAGTTATACCTTATTATCTATTACGAACAAGATAAGGTGGTATAATTGATTGTATTTTTGCTTATTAGGAGTGAACAAAATAACGATAAATAATTTTCATACACAACATTCATTACACAGTAGTCTGTTATAATTTAATGATTAGCTATTCTCGAATTATCAAAAAATTGTGGAAACCATTGATAAAAGTATTATACCATTGATCAAACTATTTGCATGCTGTCTATACCGCTCTAATGTTAAGAATGATTTTTATTTTTATATTGATTGGGCCCAGGTCATTAGCCTTCACTTTCAATAATTGTCGATTTACAATAAACTGTTTCACTTTGATATTTAGAACAATGCGAAATCACGTAACACTTTAAAACCCTGCTAATGAATGAAAATAAGAGAACCTTTGTAGTGTTTTACATTATATTAAATTATGTAACACTTGCACTTTTTAATTTGTCTAAATTATTATGAGCATTTAATGTAGAATTTATATTCTTGAATTATTCATATCTTGGTATTTCCATACACCACTTAATTAGTATATTTATAATATTATCATTTCATTTGATATTCCCAAAACTATAGGAATCGAAATAGATTCCGATAACCAACAGTGTATTTCGTAATAATCCTATTAATACAATACAATTTAATAATAATATAGTAATCATCCAAATTAAAATATAATATTTTAAAAAAATATTTGTTTCTTTAAATGTAACTTGTTGATTTTCAATAACATCTAAATATTGTTTGTAATTCAGTAATTTTATTAATTTTTTTCATCTATACAACAATGTTAAGTAACATTAACACATTCAAACTTTCGCTTGAATTCAACATTTAAAAAACCAATAATACTAAATATTACTAGTAATTTTCTTGTACAATTTCATAATTTGTCCTCGATAATATTATAATATTAATATCACTAAAAATTTCATTTTTCCTTTGTGTAACTGTTATAACTATTTTATTATTTCAAGTGTATTTATACAATTATAGATATTTTGAAATTGATGTTTTAATTTTGTTTATATGGCATTAACATAATGGTATTTTGTATGGAAGAACTCAACTCTAAAGTGATAAACCTGTTTTCTTATTTCGCCCTGGATCTTTCTATAGCTTCAACACAATGACACGATTTTATAGCTACAAAACTTTTGTTTAATATCCAATGGTTATCTTGTTATTCAGAAATAAGTAATAACTATTAATTAAAAAAGTTAAACTATAAAAGTGGTCAACACTTTTTTTCGGAACCTTGCCAAAATGACATGAAAAAAATCCATAAATAAATATATTTACAATTTACTAATTAGTCTCTCGTTGATAACGATATTATCACGATTTATCTGAATGTAAGCCATTGATTATTTTTACCACTAAATTTAAGATTTTGGGGAACAGTATTTGTATACATATTTTCTAATGATGCAACAATGCTATTTATATTGTAATAATAATTGCAATAATTTTGTATTTCCTAACGACCTTTGAACGTTCGTCATCTTTACGTGCATTGTAATGTTGGATGCAAACAACAAGTAGGTTTAATTGAGGTTTTTTGATAGTAACAGTGTTCAGCTTTGTGTAGTAAATTGTAAAATCAATTTTATTTTACTTAAAAATTGTAAAACGGTTATTCATTTTTATAGTTATTGTAGTTGTTTATATATACTGGTATGTACGAATATGACAAAACGTGTATTAAAGGCAGATGTTTATTATTGTAGCTAACACAAACCCCACTACATAGTTTTCAGGTGTTCCGTAAATGCGTTTTGTGTAATAACTAATAACTAACATGTATTGTAAGAACGTATTGCGAAGAGCAGTTAACTCGAAGATGGTTAAATTTTTACCGCTGGTAAATGAAAACAAATTACTGTTTAAAATAACCGAGTGGCGGCGACCATCGTGTGCGTTTGTAAGAGTGCGGTTCGCCGTTATATGTTGGATATATTTAAAATTTTGGGTATATTGTGCTGTGCGACGAGTAGGAAAGACATCGACTAATGTTTTTGTGTGCATCTTGTGCGTCATAATTAATATAATATTAACGTGAACGTTTATTGTTTTTCAGAACCGAGGGAAAATGCCTAGAGGAAAAGGGACCGATGCAAAACCTAGAGGTCGTATGACCGCGTACGCGTTCTTCGTACAAACGTGCCGCGAAGAGCACAAAAAGAAACACCCCGACGAGAATGTCATTTTCGCGGAGTTCTCGAAGAAATGCGCCGAAAGGTGGAAGGTCAGTGTCACAAAACCTATTTAATATTTACGTTTATATATTGACACACCAAGACGGCTAATTGGCCGCGCGTGCATAATTATAAAAAAAAAAACTCGTGCTCTAGTCGTCATCGCGCACTGTCGTTGTCCCCGACGACGACGACGAATCATAATAATATTACACGTTTCTGATGACCGACAAAAAATATAAAAAAAAATCCGTAATTTTTCCTTTCTCCCAGACCCAAATCGAGCCTCTCTCGTGAACAACTATAAACCACCGAGCTATGTCATGATGAAAAAAAAAATCCAGTAAATTTTCTCTTTCCGACCGAATCTGCTTGCCAAATTTTTCCGTCGCGATTATTATCGAGACGACTACGTGTGCTCGAAGGCTGTATTTCATTTTTTTCGTTTTCCATTACAAATTAAAAAGTCAAATATGACACGTGAATATAACGTCCGTACGGGCTCGTCGTTGTGTAGGACTCGTGGCGGCAGCTGGAATTCATTAAAATTCGAACCGTAAAAAAAAACCAAAACTGTTTCTTTTAGGAAGAAATTACTCGGTCCGTCGTCGTTATAACACCCATAACAACATATTATATATAGGTAGACACAAAAAGCGATTGCTCGCACCACCTGCTCTCTACTACTGCTGTACAGAATTCTTTTATTGTAACGATTTCGTAATTTCCAAGACTGTTGTTCACTGCTATAAAATAATATTAATATATTATATACCTTCAACTATATAATATTATTATGTTTTGCGTCAGTGTGTATGTGTCGTTTTTACTCGATTATTATTAGCAACGCCTCCCGAATATTATTGCACCCGTTTCCTGCGCGCGATATAATATATTTTATTAATATTGAAAATTAAATGTTTTAATTTTTCTGTCGAAACAAAATGGTTGTTGTGCCGTGAGTGTGTGCGCGCGCGCGCGTTTGTTGCGCCAGCACCATGTCTTTATGTGACCGTGTGCGGTTGGTTGCCGGTTGCTGTTGTTGCCGGCCGGCCGGCTGGGGTTCCGTAGACTGGTTTTCCGTTAAGGGGGTGAGAGGATGGGTCAGCAGCAGCAGCCATCCAGCACATACCAGGGAACCAGTTTTTGTACGATAGATCGTCGTTACCCGCGCGCTCGATCCGTCCCGTCCTTGTCGAGCGCTCACAAACTACGAACGAGCACACACGATTAACCGGCACCCACTGCTGCCAACAATAATATAGATGGAAAAAAAATATAATATTTCAACCGTCTCTCGTTATTGTTGCAGCCGCCGCCGTCGTGTGTTTTTTCGTTTAATATAAAACAAAATAATAATATATTAGAATATTTAGTATAATATTATTTTCTCGTCCTTATAAATATTATTTCACAACCATTCTCGCAATCGTACAAAGCGTCGGCGCGTGCGCACGTTACGTGTGTATTTTGTGTGTAAAATTGTACACAGGCCCGCGCGTTTATTTATTATTAATGTACAAGCAGGTACTTTATTTTATTCGTCCATTTCGGTTAAAACACTCGACCTCGGGACACACACCGGACACATTAAATGCCGTACGGTGGTTGAAAGGGAGAAAGGAATGGGAATGGCGGTGGTGGCGAATTCGTTTTATTTAGAATAATATATTGTGTAAGTGATGTAACGCGGAAGACGAATTTTCAATCGTATGTTTTTCATTGTACATCATATTAATAATACTAACAATAATTATATTAATTATATTATTATTGTATTTTCGTCGAGTTCGCTATGAATATTATTGTGCGAGTTATTATTTATTATTAAAAACGGTAAAAAAATAAATTAAACTGCAGGAATCGTAGTAGCCGGGTTATTTGCCTGCTGGTGTAGAGGGAGGGAAACTGCTATGCGTGTGTGTGTGTGTAGGAATGAGCTCGGGGGTTCTACCATCGATTTTTTGTGTGTAAAATGCTGGGGTTGTTTTCTGGAGGGTGCGGGGATAACATGGCGGCGGAGTTTAAAACTGAGAGCGCTGGCGCAATTATTAAAATTAACCCCCCCACCCCTTAACACCCCTGTGTGTTCGCCGCACCCTCGCGGCGCGGGTAATAGCCAGCCTGCACACACGCGCGCACGCGGTTCTCGCACATTAAGCTCTTTTCAAAGATACATCGGCTACGGTGGGGTGATGGTGTGGAGATACACGGGGGGTTGGGAGTTATATAATATCGACGAATCTCTATTATAATGCGCTGTGAATTCTGCTGCTGTTGCCATGTTCCCCTTTCTCTCTCCGCATATAATATCTAGTTCTGTATTTGTGGTTTGAGAGTCCTCCTTAGGTCATGTTCCTGTATAAATTCGTGTTAATTTAAATGTGGTCGTCCCTTGTTAGTAAGTTCTGCCACCGCTGTTTACTGGAGAATAATATATTAAATTAGCAGTGTCCCGTGGGTTATATATATATTTAAATGTTCCACAAAAATATCAATTGGCTTGCTTTATCCCGTGTGATAGTGGAGGGGGGAATGTCCGGGAGCCAGATATTTTAATTTGATAATCTATTTATTAATTTTAAATCAATTATCATTCATTAATTATAATGTAAACAGTAATTAAATAATGAGCTATTATTGAATAATTATTTTAAATTATGTGTATTATTTACGTTGGTTATTAATGCAATTTTAATCTCAACACGGCACGTTAATTTAAATACAAACAATAACATTAAGATAATGTCAGTGCACTGTTTTCTATCCCATGCGCAACATCAGAATCGTTTTTTTTTTTTTTATGTTTTTGAGTAATCTTAAAAGAAAATCACCCATTATAAAAACAATAAAGAATAATTTGCTTTAGTTTTTGTGTAGATATCGATTTCCTTAAATATTGTCTCAAAAACAATTTAAAGAACATTCAAATTTACAAATTTTTTTATTTTGAAAGTTAAATACTAAGTCAAATAATAATAAAATATTGTACAAAAAATATGCTATATCCTCAGAATTATTATCCTCTATAATTTTTGTAATAGGTGATTTTACTCTTAAGCTCAAAAATCATAAAAAAAAAAAAAAACTATTTTAGGTAAAAACGTTTTTATCTAAGCTTGTGCATGTGTCTGAGAGAAAACAAATATAGTGCTGACATCCTCTTAAAAATAAATAGCATAGTGCATTGTATATTATTACTATATCATTTCTTTTTTTTTTTTTTAGACTATGAATGAGAAAGAAAAGAAGAGATTCCATGAAATGGCTGATAAGGACAAGTTAAGATATGATACTGAAATGCAAAGCTATATTCCACCAAAGGGTGAAAAAGTGCGTGGTAAGAAGAGGAAGCAAATCAAGGATCCTAACGCACCAAAACGCTCCTTGTTAGTATTCTTTTTATTATTTCGAAGTAATTTATAAATATATGCAAATAATACATTTTTGTCTTATTAAAGGTCTGCTTTCTTCTGGTTCTGTAATGATGAACGTGGAAAAGTTAAGGCTGTGAACCCAGAATATGGCGTAGGTGATGTGGCCAAAGAATTGGGCAAAAAATGGTCTGATGCTGATATAACAGTGAAACAGAAGTACGAAGCAATGGCAGAAAAAGATAAAGCCAGATATGAAAGGGTATGTTATATTTAAATTAAATGTATTGAACATTCGAATACAATTTTATGGTTTCTGTATTAATTTTTGTAATTGTTCAACAGGAAATGACCGAGTACAAAAACAAGGGCAAGCCTACCTTGTTACAACAACAACAACAACATCAAATGTTGGTACAACAACAGCAACAAATACTTGCACAACAACAACAACAACAGCAACAGCAACAAATGATGGCAGTAAAAGATGAAAGTGACGAAGATGATGATGATGAAGACGATGACGAGTGATCTCTTTCAGATTCACATCAGAATCTTTTTTTTTCTTTTCGTACCTCGAAAATATTAATTTTAAAATTTGTAAATACAAATAAGTTAATTTTTAAGTTATAGATTAAAAAGTAATTTTGTACAGAAAAACTGTAGAAAATTGGTTTTGTCTCAACAAAAAAAAATAATAATAAATATTGGATTCAAATTTTTAATTTTTATATTAGAGATTCCTATATTTTTACTAAAACTTTACAAAATTTACCGTAAAAATATTTCTTTACAGACTGATATATTATGATGAATTTTAAAATTACATTTTAATTTTCCAGGAGTATAATATTAAATTATGCCATTGGATTTTTTATTTAATTAAGGTTTTAACTGAAAATTACCTCCTGTAAAATATAAATGTAATTTTATTTTTTGTACATACAATTTTTTTGTTTATTTTTATTTTTTTTTTTTAATTTGTAATTTTAATATTAGAGAGAAAACCGCATGCGGAAATAAATTGCGAGATCTTTACCATTTCATTATTTTCATATAGGAGATTCATATGTTGTCTAAATCGATTTTTATTTTACAGTTAAGTTTGATTTTTTTGTTATGACGAAAACCACTTTTTGTATTTGTAATCAGATTAAAAAAATGGATATAGTCCATAACATACAAACTTGATACTGTTAATAAGGATATTTATATGTACGCTATGAAAGATGCACTTTCGTGCTGTGTGACGAATATTCTCGCAAAAAAAAAAAAAAATAATAAAAAATTTAAACAATATATTGTTTCGCCTTTTATTTTTAATTATTTTAAGTTGATAATATTTTGATATAAACTACAAATAATTCACGGTTGAAGGATTTCAACAATTCATTGGTTTAAACTCATTTGTATTAGATATATCATAATATATAATATTGGTTTTAAGCAGTTTTATTCCAATTTCGGCAATTAATTTAAAATCAATTGATAAAATATAATGTTCATTGTATGTTTTCATCTAATTTGAATGGTAAATTACATTTAATTACAATTTGGTTAAATCAAAAGAAAGATAATGAAATCTATTTTTTAGATTTAGCTTTTATTGACCATATTTTTATTGTCTTCAATATTAAATATGCTCATTTTATGTTATAATTTGTATAGATAAATTTATTGATGTATTTTTTGACTGAGACAAATGCTACATTTTTAATAAAAATAGAAATAATTTGAACAATTTGAGAATATGAAACATCATTTATTATAATTTATAATTATTATTTTTTTAATCAGTTTATGCAACATGCAGCAGTTGCTAACTTGTGTTTTAAATTTATTATAATTATTATTTTTTTATTCAATATACCCAACATACAGCAGTTGCTAACTTGTATTTAAAATTATAATTTTAATAGAATATAATATAATCATTACGAAAACGAAAACAATTATTTTTTATTTGTATAAAACCGACCCTCAAGGTTCAAAATTTATTGTAAAAAAATGCTTGTTGATTATTTGATAATCAATTGAAAATTAATATTATGTTAAGCAGTTGCGTAAAACCCCATCACACAATTTCAAAATCATTCTTTTTCTTTGAATAATAAACATTGTTGTACCTTAAAACATACCAACATGGTTGTGTTTGAGTTTTCGAGTGTGCTAACACCAATTTATTGGTAGTATAGCTAGTGCATACTTGAGTGTAAATAATATTATGATTGAGATGTGCATTACATGAAAATGTTAATGTATTTTCTAGAGTGGTGTTTTAAATGTTGCCTAAACAAACGCTGGAGTTTGATTTTTAAGCATGTAATGATGTCATCATTGTAAATTCTATTGCACTTTGATCTGAGCTTTTCTGTGGTAGTGTCGTGTATAAATAAAATACCAGAAAGTACTTTTTCAAACAGCGCAACACTTTGTTGGTTCAACTCGTTACTGAAGACCTAGTTTCGCTCCTCACCAGCTGTCCCTGCTGCTTACAATATGGTCGGTCGACATTTTAAAATATTTTCAGCCGTGTGCTCAATGCGCCTTCGTCTACGGAGCTGAAACGCAGTGAGAAGACTCGTCTTCTTCGGTTAGTCGTAAGTGTCAAGTGTATCATGCTGTGGGTTATTGTTGAATATAGAATTAAGATTAATCTGCAGCCGTTTCTAGGCGCCGGCGTGGGATAATAATAATGTTAACTCCTTTCCCATTGGAATAATAATTTATTGTAATTAAACGGTGATCATGTTACGAAGAAAATCTGTTTCGTTTGCATACATATTATTATACACGTAAATTCTAATAATTATTATTTTCTTCATCGTTAAACGTAATTGGTCGGCCGACCGGTGCCCTTAAAAAGCAATAATATCTCCGCGGATTACCGCCCAACATCTATTCCATATTATTAATTATAATATATATATTATACCGCGAATCCCTCTTCTTCCACCCTTCCGGTATAGCTGGTTAACATTATCTAGATTCTAGAATATTTAAACAACTGAGCGTAAATACCGTGTGTCCAGTCTGCAAATTACTAATAGCGGTATATCATTATGCAGGTGCCGCACAGACTCTCTGCAATTAATTTATAGAGATAGATTCATAGATTACAGATTTGCCGGGTGGGTGCTGTTCTCATCGATTCTGCCACCTACCAAGCTTTTACCTGTGGGCATCCTGGTTAGTGGTTACTACTCAAATTCATTTTATTAGTAGATTAAAAATACATTTACAATTATGACAAAATATTTATTTGGGTAATATATGCTAATAATCGAATAATATTATGAATTGTAATATAGTTAATTTCGATACATATTGAAAGTAAATTGGAAACTAATTATTATTATTATTTTATTTAATACGGGCTTAGCCCAAAGTACAGTATCATCTGAGGAAATTATTCATGCTGTATCTCAGTTAGAAATACGTCAAAATCAAATTGTTAGAATTCAATATACTCAATAAAGAACGAATGAACTCGCAACAAATGAATATTAAAAACTAAACGTCTGACTGTTGAAAAATGACTGCCATATATTTGAAAAACCATAATTTATTACAACCAATATATTGCATGGAGTAAGCACAATATACGCAAAAAACAATTTTATCATAAATAGATCTAACAACACCACATCTGGTAGATATCTTGAAATAATTGGAACCAAATAATGTAACATAATACCATCCACTATAATATAGGTACCTACCAATTAATTTATTAAAAAAAAACATTTTACAATGGTTTTTGGAATCTTCTGATCAATTAATAATATAGTAATAATATTTTATTCATTTACTCTAATCAATGTAAAACAATTTAAATTTAATCATGTATACAAAATAGAAGTGTTATTTTTTATATAATTTGTTTTAGAACTCCTGCTTAAAAAACAATACAAAATACTGTCACATCAGCGATTTCGTTTTATTTTTTGGCAGGCCAAAGAAGTCGTTTCCCGCCGTTTTACAACAATAGTTACGAATGCACATCATGTTCACTCCCACAAATGCTGCACCAGTTTCAAATCTAAAATTTCAACCCTTCATACTTCGAAACAATTTAATTACTACTTTTTTATGGTTTTATATAATTTTATAATTTTGTATCGTTAAAACTAGCAAAATAATTATTTACTTTCCTATTTAAAATTATAAATTATTATTTATTTAAATAATCATACTATATAGTTGCTACAACCAACGTAGTCCCTAATGTCAGTGGCGTATCCAGGGGAGGGGCTGAGGGGGCTGCAGCCCCACCGAAATGTTAAGAAAATTAAAAAATTATTTTAATCGTCTATGATAGTCGCTCAAAAAGTCTTAAATTGTATTTAAAATATTTAAAAATGTACTATAAGTATTAACACTTTTCAGCTATCTATCTGTGCTGGTACGTATTTAATGTGTATAAAAATGTAAAAGTTGATGAGCCCACCCCCCCTGAAAAAAATCCTGGCTTCGCTACTGCCTAATGTCCTAATAAATTCTATTTTAAGGCCTCGTTACTAATCACAGTAATATAGGTCAAAAACACCTAATATAAATTTATAATTGACAATTGAATAATGAATATGTTATTATGATAATAGTATATTAATTAACATATAACATATCACATATACTAATACTACGTATTACATTGAACTATTGAAGTACCTATACCACCGTCACTGTTCATTTTCTCTAATTAACAGACTGTATCATAATAATAGTGTTATCAAATACCAATTAAGTAAATAATAATTATACGTTTGTACATAATACAAACATGTTAATTTCTGAACGGAATGATGAATGTTTACAAAATCATCTGGAAAAACAAACAGAAAATTAAGGAACAACTAAGATTTTTTGGCAAAACAAATTTTCCAAAATATCGATTTTGTATTTTAGTGTAACTCTAATAACAATAACAGTAAATAGATGAAATTTTCACGGTATGTTTATATTAGCAATTTTTATGCACCATAATATTTATGAAATATTGCGACTCTGAGCTATTTATAGGCATAAGAAAATTTCGAGTAATATTATTTTTTTTAAATAATGTCGATACAAAACTATTTGGTCGGTCAAATAAGTAATAACTTTAAAATGTAATACAATGTTCCTCATAAGTTGATGTTAGTGAAAATTAAAAAAAATAGTTGAGTTTAAATCCACAATAATTTTTTATAAGCGTGTCTGAAGTTATAATGTTGAGAAAATTCATCAAAATCTCGCATTATATCGAGTTAGAAATTTATAAAAAAATTTTTCTATTTATATCTAATCTTTGAAAATTCAATACAAGATTCCTCTAAAATTTTCCTACATTTATAAAAACAAAAAGTTTACCAGAAAGTCAAATTAATTTTAACAAGCTTTTGGAGCTAAACATTGGATACTCACCCCGTCACTCGTAAATAAACAAATTCTCATACAAAGATTTTCTTAATTTGTCGTTATTCAAAAACTAGGTAATAACCCTAGGTACTTGAAAATTATTATGAAATGTTTATTTTCTCATTTTCTAT